CGCATCCACTTAGTGAAATTATCCGACCTATTTTGCCAGGTAGTCCACTCTGTTTGATGAAACATTTCGTGATTCCATTAGATGCCACTTAGTGTGGACTTTGTCATTAGTGATCAAGTTGTATGTTTATACACAATTTAGATAATATATAAAATAATAATTGTATGCAGTAATAAGAGAATAGTAAATAAAATTAATGAAAACTATATGAGTTAGAATAAATACTATTTCTAAAAGTAATTATGTTCAGGGTTGCCACAGGTTAGGGAACATTTTTTTTTTATTGTAGGTTGATTGCAGGTACGTCTTGAGCCTTTGATAGAATCTGAAGGTAGCTTTTGGGATAAGGAACATTTTTTTAAACGATCTGTATGATTGGTACACACAGTGCAGTGCTAATTTAAAAAACAAGTTTATACTTGTTATTGGGCTGAAACTGAAAATTGATATGAATCACTTGTTTAAAGTATAAAAGTTGATGTTTCCAAACTGATGAACCAAAACCAGATTTCAAACGAGATACAAACCAGACACTTTGTATAAATTTATCCCCCTTACAAAATTAGAAACTGAGAGGGAATGTATAATCAAATAAACATTCTCCCCGACGCTAATTGGAATCATTTACTCCTTAAAAGACTTCTTTTTTATTTACTACCGCTGACAAAATAATTGAGTCCTCTCAAGAATTTTATATACTTGACTTTTTTTTGTGTAGACTTTTTTTTCGAAAAAAGAATTTTATATAAACTTCTTGAGGACCTGTTCCCAATTTAGAAAATAATATTGTAAACATGAAAGCTCGCATGAAAGCAAGCATGAAAGTAGAGTTAAATACTGGGAAAATAAAAATTTATCATCATTGGAATCTCTTCTTGCTTTCTGGATATACAAGAAGATTATCCATTCTTGGTGTATGTAGTAAAGTCGGGTTTTGAATGAAGTGGAGATATTCAATTGAAAGTCCGAGATGGTTGGTTGAAGGAAAGAGGGGAAAAAAAAGGAGAGAGGAGGCTGTTGACCCTATATGTATGCTCTCTGTGATTCTTCTTCGATTCTTGGCACACACCACAATCCCTGACACGTCTATGTCTTTCACGTATGATTTCTTTAATGCGTGCGGACGTACATCTACTTAAATGCTTATAAGGTAGACTGTAAGACTTTGCGAGAAATTTATTTCGACATATAGTAGGAGACACGTGGCTAGTCGTGGCGTCTTCTAATCCCATTTGGTCTAATAAATGTCACTTGGGGAAATGCTTTAGGGTGCGTCGTGATATTTTCAAGCAGATTTTGATTATCGACTCAGACAAGGCGTCGACTTGGATAATACGATTAAGATTATGTGGGGGGTAATGAAAGATGGCAAATCACTGCATTTAAGAAACTTCTTTCTTCTTTTTTTTAAGAAGTTAATGTTAAGCCAATCATTGGGGTTGAATAAAGAGATTTTCTCCTTTCTTCTATATTCTTCATCTAAAAGAAAATTTTAAGGGTTCGAACCAGTGAAAGTATTTAAAAATACGGATTTTAAAAACCAAAAATGAAAAATTACGAATCATTTACGGACCAAACTGGCAAAAATACAACCAGTTTGAGTCAAATAAGAAAACATTTTACTAAAAAATAAAAAATTTTTTTTATAACTATAAAACATGAAGAAATCGATAACTCCGATTCTTCAACTCGGAGTGATCGGTTTCTTCATGTTTTATAATAATTAAAGACAACCGAGTGATAAAATCATTACTATAAGAATATTGTACTTCTTCAGAATTATTTTCATCATTTCAATTCAATTATTATTTTCAAGAATTTTTAACTAAAATTCTTCGATTATTTTTTTAAATTTTCGAAAAAGTTCTTTGACAATTTTCAAATTCTCATTTCTTTACAATATTCAATTTTACGAAATTTCACTTATTCGTAAATTTTTCAATGAAATATTTATTAGAAAATAAAAACTTCAAATAATATAAAAAAATTCAATTAAACTTTTTCAAAATTCAATTATTTCTAAAAAAATCACGCTATATTGCTTTTAATATTTATAATTATTATTATCTAAAATTTTAACTGAAATTCATCTCTAAATCAATTTTTATCAGAAAATTCTACTAGAATTCAATTATTTAAATACAAATGAAATACAAATAAATAATTTATTGAATAATTGAATGTTTCTTCAAAATAAAATTCTCATAAAAAATTTTATCAACTATTGAATTCTTCTGGCGAATTTTAATAAAATTTTTAAGAATAATTATTACATTTTTCGAGAAATTTGATTAAAATTGTATTTAAATAATTGAAATTCTGCGGTGAGTTTTATTATTTATGAAAATAATTGAATTCCTAAAAAGAATTTTATTGTTATTCATTAAATTTCTGCGAAGAATTTTATTATTCTTGAAAATCATTGAATTTCTGCAATAATTTGCAAATTTCTCCAAAATTAGTTTTTTTTTAGTGCTTGTAACGAAAATTCTTCTATAAATCCATTATTTTTTTAATTATTTTTGAAAAAGTTTCTTGAGAATTTTCATATTTATTTGTTTATAATTCTATTTTACAAAATTTCAATTATTTGGTAATTCTTCAATTATTAAATATATATTAGAAAATAAAAACATCAAAAAAATAATTTCAAGTAAAATTAGAAAAAAACTTTTTAAAAAAAATTAATTTTTCTACAGAATTGTTAGTTAAAAGTATTAAAAATTCAAATTTTTAAAGATTTTAGTATGAAAACTTTTCAAAATTAAATTATTTCTAAAAATTTACGCTATAATGATTTTAATATTCAATTTTAATTTAAAATTTTAAGTGAAATTCAATTTCAATTATTTTCATAAATAACAATATTCATCACAAGAATTCAATTATTTTAGAAGTAATAAAAATTTTAAAAAATCCAAGTTTTCAAAGATTTTAATTTAAAACGTTTTCAAAATTCAATTATTTCTTAAATTTTACGTAAAATTCATTTTTTAAAACAATTTTTATTAGAAAATTCTAGTAGAACTCAATTATTGAAATAAAAAAAAATTTTTATTGAACAATTGTATTCTCGTAAAGAATTTTATCGACAAATTTTTAAATAATTGAATTCTTTCGAATTTTAATAAAAGTTTTATGAATAATTACACTTTTCGAAGAATTCTATAAAAATTTTATTAAAAAATAATTGAAATGTAGCATTAAGTTTTATTATTTATGAAAATAATTGAATTCCTAAAAAGAATTTTATTTACGAAAATAATTGAATTATTGTAAAAATTTTATTATTTTTGAAAATAATTGAGTTATTTAGAAGAAATTTATAAAAAAAATCAGTAAATAATTGAATTCTTGCGAAGAATTTTAATAAAATTTTTGTAAATATTTAAATTTTTTTCAAGAATTTTATGAAAATTTAAAGAAATAATTCAATTATTTTTACTAATTTAATTAAAATGGTACTAAAAATAATTGAAATTCTACGATTAGGTATTTATTCGAATATAATTGAATTCTTAAAAAGAATTTTATTTCTTATGAAAATAATTAAATGTTTGCGTAGAATTTTATTAAAACTTTTTTAAATAATTGAATTCTTTTCGACAATTTGATTAAAATAGTAAAAATTATGCCAAGAATTTTATTAAAAAGTTTTTGAATTCCTGTGAAAAATTTTATTATTTAGGAAAATAATTGAATTCTTGCGAAGAATTTTAATAAAATTTTTGTAAATATTAAAATTTTTTTCAAGAAGAAGAAGGTACTAAAAATAATTGAAATTCTGAATTAAATTATTTTAAGAAATTGTGATAAAATTCTTTATGAAAATTCAATACTAAGAAATATTCAATTATTCAAAAGTTATTTATTTTTATATTTAAATAATTGAATTCTCGTTGAATTTTCTAATAAGAATTGATTTGTGAAATTTCATTATTTATAAAAATTGAATATTTCGAAGAATTTTATTAAAATTTTTGAAAATAATTGAATTCTTTTGGATAATTTGATTTTAAAATATAGTAGATATTGAAAATCATTGAATTGAGGAAGATTTTTGAAAATAATTGAAATTTTGACAAGCATTTTATTAAAATTTTTCAAAATAATTGAATTTCGGAGAAAATCTCTAAAAAGAAGTCATTTTTCCATAAATTTGAAAAAAAAGCTTCGCCTGGATCAGAAAGGAGCTGAGACATAAGAGAATTTGAAGAGAGAATTTTGCATTTGCGAATAAGGCGAATTATAAGCTTTTGGTTCTGGTGGGTGCTCCATTAACGGGATTTAGTCCTAAGTGCGAGAACCCAAACTTTAAATAGCGTTTATATCCTTGGCAGGGAGACACCCTCTCTAATTTCATCCCGCCCGCAGTAGTAATACTCCAATTTCCAGTGTTCACTTACGAAACTTTAGTTTTCACTCTAAAAACTTTATAATTAAAATTAATATATGTGGATTCTTGAAAAAATTATTAACTAGTCCCTTAAGACTATATTGATAATAATTAGTTTCTACTTTGTGAGAATTTTGGAAATAAATATGGGATAAAAAAGAATACTTTCTAAATTTTAATTAGCTAAAAATAGCTAAGATAGTAAAAGGTCAGTCGTTGATTCAATTATTAGCAATATGTCTTTTTATTTTTTACTTTCATTAATAAATATAGTTTTATTTCACTTATTTTGTTAAAACAGTCACTATAATGGTACTATTTTTTTCAACTAAGATTTTAAATATTAATTTATTTAGCAAAATTAAATTTTAATTGCCGAAGCAAAATGTCAGCCAAGATTTTACTAATAGTTATTTTCCATTTTTTTTTTAGAGAATGAGAATGAAAAATTACTTTAAGATATAATAATATATTATTTGTATTGAATAACGTTATTTTTAAAAATGCAAGTACAGCTGTAACTGTACTAAATTCTATGAAGTTATTTAATTTATTTGTAAATTAAAAAATATTTTTTTAACCTAATTTTTTTTTGTATTTTCAGTTTTGGAAAACGGACGGGTGGCAGTGCAAGAAGACCTAATGAATGTTTCGTTCTGGAGCCCTCCGAGATGATTGTGGTGAGTAGCATAACAAAATTTATCATTCAAAGTTTTGCTTTTTCATAGAATTAAAATTATTTATAATTTAAATATTATAAATAAATATAAATCCTATAATTAAATGAACATAAATAATTGAATAAATAGAAAATTTAAATAAATTATTATCTGTAATTATTTACAGGCTTTTTATTCGATAATTAATTTAAAAAAAGATAAAATTTAACTATTTCTAAAAATTAGAACTAATTCCAAAATTCAATCATTTTTTGGCGAAATTTCTAAATAAAATTAATCAAAACTTTAATCATTTTATTAAAAATTAAAATATCATTAAAGTTTTACAACAATAAAATTTTCAAAGATTTCAATTTAAAAATCTTTTGAAATTTAATTACTTCTAAAAATTCACACCCATAGCGCTACTAATATTCAATTATTTAGAATTTTAACTGAAATTCAATTTTAAATCAATTCTTATATTAGAAACTTATTGGAGAATTCAATTACTTAAATATAAAAATAAATAATTTATTGAATAATTGAATAAAAATTGAATTCTTATAAAGGACTTTATCAAAATTTTTTTAAGTACTTGAATTATTTTGAAAAAATTTAATAAAATTTTTATTAATAATTGCATTATTCAAGGAAGTAATTTAAATTAATATTACAAATTATTGAAATTAAATTAAAATAAATATATTAAATGATTAAATTCCTTTGGAAATTTTATGCCTAATTTATTACGAAAAATTTCATTAAAATTTTAAAAAAAAATAGATTCCCAGAGAAGAATTTGATTATTTGTAAAAATAATTTAATTCTTGCGAATAATTTTGTAATGATTTTTTCGAAAAATTTTATGAAAATTGTGATTTAATAAATTTTTAAATAATTGAATTCCTATGTAAATTTCATTATTTATAAAAATAATTGAATTCTTGCAACAAATTTTATTAAAATTTTTTTGAAAATAATTGAGTCCCTGAATAGAATTTTTGTTATTTATAAAAATAATTGAATTCTCGTGAAGAATTTTATAAAAAATCTTTTAAGGGCATTTGAACCTTGATGACGTTTCAGTTTGTGCAAAGCATGTGTGACGTCATCAAGTTTCAAATGCCCTTAAATTTTAAAATAATTGATATTTTTTGAAAAATTTTATGAAAATTGTGTTTTAAACTTTTAAATAAATGAATTCCTATGGAAATTTTATTATTTATGAAAATAATTGAATGTTTGCAAAGAATTTTATAAAAATTGTTTTTAAATAATTGAATTTCTCCTGAGAAATTTTTTATTAAATAAGTAGATATCGAAAATAATTGAATTTCGAAAAATTTTTCGAAAATAATTGATACTTTTGAAAGAATTTTTATTAAAATTTATTAAAGAATAAATTAAAATTTTTGTTTTTAAGAATTTTATTAAAATCTTTGAGAATAATTATTCTAAATTTAGGTTTTTTTTATTTTAAATAAATATTTATTTGGTTGAAATTAACGTTTATTTAAAGTAAAAAGAATCTATTTAAACTAAAATTTAATACAAAGGAATATTTAATTTGGTATTTAATTATAAACAGTTCATTTGAATCAAGGAGGGAAATTAAAGAGTTCAACTAAAAATAAACCCTTTTCTTATGAGTAATGAGAATTCTATTTTAAAAATAAAAAAAGAAACATTAATCAAAAAAGTTCACGCAAATTTTCACGGCGTAGAAAAACTAAAACGTAGTATACCTATAGGCTTGTTATAATTATAAAATTAATTAATCAATCGTGACACGTAAGAAACAACTATATATATATATATACATACAATGTCGATTTTTAATGATAAGACGATAAACTTTCGTGTTTGTTTTTAATTATTTATTTATACACGCAAGTATAATAATGAGCGATGTCAAAATGCGTGTATTATAGAGGAATTATGTCAAGATATTTTGGTCTTTATTTTTGAACGCACTTAGGAACCCATTTTACTTTATATAGATATTATATTAATAAACTTAATGAAGTCTCTTGTGCCAAGTGGAAAATTCGTAGATTGTATATGTGTGTGTGTAGAAAGTTATTATTATATAGAAGGTATACGCATATGTGTTATTATTATATACAATATTGTGTACAACCACAACTACATCAAAGTGAAAGACAATGCTGTATACAGACAAGATGACTTGCCGGAGATATATGCTGGACGTGACAGTTAATCGATATATTCGCATTTCATTCTCGAGTCATGTTTTCAGAGTGTGAGAAAACAAAAAGTTTATTTTTTTTTTTTTAATATTCCCTTTAAATATTTTTTAATATTTCCCCATTGATGACAAAATTTTGATAATTTTTATTAAAACTTATTTATAAAATTAGTTTTAATATCTACTATTTTAATCAAATTTTCCAAAAGAATTCAATTATTTAAACAAAATTTTTAATTTTAATAAAAATTTCAAAGGAATTCAATTACCTGCGAATTTTTTTTATAAATTTCTTCGCACCAATTCAATTATTTTTAATTTTTTAATGAATTTTCTCGAAAGAATTCAAATATATTCAGAGAATTAATTGAAAAAAATAGTTCTGAAGAAATTCAATTATTTCGAAAAGGTTTAAATAAAATTCTTTAAAAATTCTATTATTTAGAAAAATTTTGACAAAATTCTTTACAAGATTTAGTTAATAAAATTGCAATTTTAATAAAATTTTTCTATACAATTCAATTATTTTCAATACAATTTTTCTTAAGAATTCAATTATTTTCGTAAATAATACATTTTTAAAAGAATCAATTATTTAAGAAAATTTGAATTAATATTCTTCGCGAGAAATCAAATATTTTCGGAAATAATAAAATTCTTCTCGAGAATTCAATTATTAAAAAAAATTTTGATAAAATACTTTATAAATTTGAAAAATTTAAATACAATTTATCATAGAATACAAATATTTTCGTAAAATATAAAATTCTTCTCGAGAATTCAATTATTGTCAAAAATGTTTGTAAAAATTTTTGAAACAATTCAATTATTTTCGTAAAAAATAAAATTCTTTGAAGAAATTCAATTATTTAAGAAATTTTAAGAAAATTCTTTTCAAGAATTCAATTCTTTTCGAAAATAAACATTTTCACAGGAATTCAATTTTTAAAAAAAAATCAATATAATTCTTCGTTAGATTTCAATTATTTTCAATTTCTTAATAAAATTTCTCAATGGAATTTAATTATTTTCAAAAAGTTTTAAAAAATTCTAAGCAAATCAATTATTTAAAAAAATTTTAATAAAATTCTTCACAAGAAATTAATTATTTTCATAAATAATAATATTTTTCTCTGGAATTCCATTAATTTTACAAATAAAATTCTTCACAAGAATTAAATTCTTTAAAAAAAATTTTTAATAATAGAATAATTTTAAAAAAATTTTTATAAAATTCTTCGCAAACATTCAATTATGTATTTTTATAAATCAAACAATTCTCACAGGAATTCAATTATTTAAAAAAGTATTTTCCAAATATTTTTCGAAAAAAATCAAATATTTAAATAGATTTTTATAAAATTTCTCGCAAGAATTCAATTATTTTTTAAAATTTTAATAATAATCGTTGCAAAAATTCAATTATTTTTATAAATAATAAAATTCTTCTCAGGAATTCAATTATTTTTTAAAACTGTAATAATAATCGTTGCAAAAATTCAATTATTTTTATAAATATTAAAACTCATCGCAGGATTTCAATTATTTTCAAAAATAAAATTTTTCACAGGAATTCAATTATTTTTAAAAAAATTTAATAAAATCTTCGTCGTATTTAAATTTTTTTCAATTTTTTAATGAAATTTCTCGATGGAATTTAAGTATGTTCAAAATGTTTTAAGAAATTCTGAGAAAATCAATTATTTTCACAAATAAAATTCTTGACAAGAATTCGATTCTTTAAAAATTTTTTAAATAAAATTCTTTGCAAGAATTCAATTATTTTCAGAAAGAACAAAACTTATCGCAGAATTTTAATTATTTTTTATATAATTTTAAATAAAATGATAGAAAATTGCATTTATTCATAAAAGTTTTATTTAAATTCGCCATGCCATAAGAATTCAATTATTTTTTAAAATTTTGATAAAATTCTTCATAAGAATTAAATTTTAAGAAATATTCAATTATTTATTAAATTATCTATTTTTGTATTTAAATAATTGAATTCTCGAAAAATTTTCTAATAAAAATTGGTTAAAAAATGAATTTCACTTAAAATTTGACGTTTTTTTTTGAGTATCTTATAATTTTTGGAGTGAATCAAAGTATTCTTCTTAATCAGAATATTCTTTAGGGTCAGGAAAAAATGTAGAAATTTTGTCTGGAAATCAGGGAAAAACAAAATTAAATTTTTTTAATAACCCTGTTATAAAGTAAAATTTTTGAAAACCACAGTTTTTCTAAGGATATGAAATTGAGACAAAAAATAAATCAAAACTGTTGCTGCGCAACACTTTTGATTTATTTTTTGTCTTAATTTGATATCCTTAGAAAAATTGGGACAATTTCAATAATTAAACATTTTTTATTGTTATTGTTGCGAATAAAAGTAAAAATTCAGTGATCGAAATATATACTTAAATTGTAATTTACAAATAAATTGAATAAATTGACATTTTTATTGAGAAAGAAAATGTTCCGTTAGTAACCTAACTTTTATGTTTTAAAATATACATAAAAGTTTTATTGCTAAAATGCGTCCATTATTCTAACTTATTATTTAACTTTTTTTTAAATTAATTTTTTTCATTTTTTTTTTAGATTTTTTTAATGAAAAGATAATATAAAAAGTAATTTAAAAAATGGTATGAAAAACCAATTTGCGAAAAGAATGCATAAATATGAAATTGTTTTGATATTTTCTCTCGCGCAGTGAGATTGTAACCTATGTGACTAAGCTCTAGTTTTTTCTAACAGTATTTTCAATTGCTAACTTCTTCTCACTCTTATACTGTTATTTGCCAGT